TGAAAGCCAAAGGTCATGGAGGATGAATTAGCATGGTACCGGTGGTACGACCTCCTCCTGAACCACCACCATGGGATGTACGAGGTGCTAGAGTTCGTGAACATTTTTCTTGTAGTTTTTATCTGTTTGTTATTTGTTTTCTTGTGTCCATTTTTGTTGTTGGGTTTGATAGTTTGTTTGAGTTTTTTGCCTCTCTTTATGTCATTCGGTATGGTTGGATCTATGGGAACAAGTTTGGCTATGTCAACCCCACTACATGGTTAGCGATTCGTGTTGCTCTCTCAGGGGTGACCGTCTCAAAGTCTCACCATAGGGTTACAGTCGTAGTTGTTAGAGTTTTAATTGGTGTCAGTTTTATTTTCCCTATGCTTGATGTAACGATCCTGAATCTTTTGATATGAATAGAGGCCTGTTTTGATGATCAAAAATATTCCGCCGTTGTGTGCGGTTTTCTCAATGCCAGCGAACGCGAGAACGAACAAGGCAGGCAGCGAACACGAGAACGGACAAGGCAGGCAGGCTGCAACAAGCTGAAGACAATGCAGGCTCGGTGCCAGAAGTTATTGGAACAGTTCATGGGCGAAGCTTAGGGCTAAAGGCTGGAACGTAACAGATCTTGATTCGAGGTCATCCGTGTTTGGTGGCGAAAGTGGAGGCTTGATAGAAAACATAATGAATAACAGGTAGGGTGAGGAAGAAGCTACAATAGTGCTGGATCGTCCCTCTTCTGAACCGCCACAACGGAGTGCATGATATGAGAGTCTAGGGGTTTGAAGAAGACCAGTAAACTCTGTGGTGTTTTGTTTTGTTTTGTTTTGTTTTGTTTGTGTTTTTATTTTGAATTGCATGGTGTTTTGGTTGTGGTTTATTTCCTAGCGAAAAAACTCTAGGATTTAAAACAATTGATGACAAGTCTGATTTGTCTGTCATTGGTTCAGTTAAGCCCATTACAAGATCAGCGAATGTGAAAGCTTCTATGAAGGTGATAGATTCTAAGTTTGGTTTGAGAGTAAATGACAAACAAAAGGCTTTTTGTCGTATCCTGCTTCATTTCATCATTTGCATTTACCCCAGTGCCACAAAGGCTCACACCTACGGTGGGGTAAGAGGGGTCGGATGTACGCAGTCTTACCCTTGTACTAAAGCACAGAGAGACTGTTTCCGGATGACCCATAGTGAAAATCGTGTCCAAAATTGCATGGACTGACTGTTACTTTATAACAAAGAAGCGTAGACATTTTAGTGAGCCATTTTGCTTTATTCTATCATATTCTCAAGCCAAAAAATAATGAATCTTTGGCTCCATTGCAAATGATGGAAATTGCCTGCTTACATTCTGTTAATTTAATATTAGTCACCTTCTTCCAAAACAACACGCAGCTCGATCAATATATGCTCCTATATATGAATTATGAATTAATGATAATTAAATGAAAGCCCTATCTAATTTAAAAAATCCATGACAAAACGTTAGTAAGTTTATGACGGAGTTATGATCTCTTTAATTACTTGTTTGAATTGATCTATATATATTGCCTAGTTACTCCATGCGCGTTGCACAATTAAGTTGATGCCCGATATTATTTGAGTAATATAAACATTTACTCCGTGTTATTGTTTTTGCAATTACTTCAATAGTGAATACCTGAATAATACAGAGTAATAAAAATTTAAAGTGATAGGGACAAATGGGTTAAAATTAAATGATGGTCCCTCTCAATTAAATTGAGTGAAAAAGATGCTTCATGATCTCAAGAGACAGAGAGCAATATGGGACACATTAATTTTCTTTATCCAATTGAAATCAAAATTAATTATTCCACCCATTGTACATATAAAGTTACGTTAGATACCCACTACTACTAATTACTAATTAAGCACGACAGTTGTAAAAGTTGACGTCCTCGGCGTCATCATCTGTGTCTCTACCGAAGAGGGAAGCTGTTTAGGTTTTTTCATTTGCTTAATCTCTCCATAGGTATAAGACACAAAACCCCATATGGAGAGGAAGAGGGAGATCCCCTTCTCCGCTTGGAACTTCTCATGGTAGAAGATGACGGCGAAGACCTCCGTGACGGGGAGGAGAACGGTGATTATGACGCCGGAGAGCAATGATGAGCCGAAGGAAATCACTCCGACGGCTCCCACGAAGAAAAATTGCCACACGATCACGCTCCCTACGATTAATGTGTAGAATTTGACTTCACCAAGTCCACTTTCTCTTGCCTCCCTTGGAATTGCCTGTTAATTAAATAAATTAATCATCGTCAACCACATATTTTTATTATGTCGGGATTATAACGCATGCTCCCCATTTAGATGATCCAAAATTTTATAAATACAATCTACGTATAATGTACATATAACATACTGTATACAATCATATAATTAAAAGATATACACTCAAATGACACTATCATTATTTTCTTCCTAAAACAAGACTCATTCATTAATAAGTGAGAAGATTTCATGTTGTTAAGAGAATCAAATAAGTCTGGTTTTGAGAATAAAACATATTTAGAGCCCGTTTGGTAGCACCAAAATCGGCTGTTTTGGTTGATTCTGCTGAAATTTATGATATTCTGGATAGAGTGGCTGTTTTGGCTGATTCTGCTGATTTAAGAAAAAAATATTTTAAAAATATATTTTATTAATAAATTAAAGAAAAAATTATATGTAAAAATAGCTAAAATGGTCCTCTACAGTAACTTCAGCCAATACAGCCAGAAAAGTAACTCCAACCTTACTTTTTCGGCTTATTACACAATTCAGCGCGCGAAAGTAAAAGTTACGTGTTTGGTGAAAAAGCTGGCTGATAAGCCTGATAAGCCGAAAACAGAGTTCTCCAAACGGGCTCTTACTTCTGTTTGTGCATTTTGCTTATGTTTTGTCCCTATTTAGAATAATTGTTCTATTTGTTCCAAGAAACCTACTTTGGTGTTTTTTAAGATATGAACATTAGAATATTATGACAAAAGTAATTAAATATATAATCCTATAATCAAAATTGTCTAATTTTTTATTTGTTACATAAATCTCTTTTCAATCTAGGTGTAATTAATGAGTATGTGTCCTTAGCTTCTAAAGTTTCGGACGGTCTTGAATGGATATGATTGCGTGGATGGATATATAGTTTGATATCTAGCGCTAGTGAGCCTATATCTTAGCTTAAATAAAAAAAAATTGTTTTTTTCTTTTTTAGCTTAAATAAAATTATAAGTTGTATATAGAACCAAAACATATATAAACTTCAAATATATGATTAAATATATTTTATCAATCATTTTTTTCCTTTTATGTCATCTATCCTTTTTGAGTTGTCTTAAAAAGTTTGTCACTTTCTCTTTAATAAAACAATTTGTGATTCTCTAGCATGTCTATTTTCTCTACACAAACCTCAACCGCATAATTTTTACATTATTATTTCCCGTGCTGATCAAACTTGGAAAATTTTTAAGGGACGAGGAAGTATTTTATTTCTCTAACTAGGACTTATTGCGACCTATTAAAAGAGTAAGTTAATTAAAGCTATCTAACACTGGATTGACTATTTTTAAATAAAACCATGATAATCCAATTCAATATATGGACTTTATTTTAGTATTCAGAGACTTTTTTATCTCTAAACTTAACCCGTACTCTCCCCATGTCCCAACCCAAAGTTGGATTATACGACTGAGTCACTGAGTTCTTTTATGTACTCAGTTACTCACACTAATTATAGTTTTTTTTTTCGTGAATCATTATTTATAACCGTTTAATGAATTAGCAGTGAAATTATTGATAAAGATGCAATTCCTTAGGTCGAAGAATACACTCAGAATTATTAAATTTACTCGTTACTATACACAAAGGTCGTCGTTTTTTTTAAGGCCACGTAGATCGAATGTGGAGTTGTCATGAGGTGTAGATCATTAAGAGATGATGGTGCTTGAAGAAGATAGACTGCTTAAAACAGTCAAGAAACATGCACAATATTACTCCCATCGTTTCTAATAAATACTACCTCCGTTCTTAAATAAATGCAACACGTTGACTTTTACACTATTCACATGTTCTACTTTGACTACGTTTTATTTATTAATTTAATAATATTATTTTATGAAAAAAATATTGTTAAACTTGTCTCATTGTAAATTTTCATAATCTAATTTTTTTTAATTTTTTTACTAATACAAAATCATTTATATTAATGGTCAAAGTTGTGTCTCGACAAGTGTGAAATGTTGACTATTGCATTTATTTAAGAACGGAGGAAGTACTACATATATACTACGTCTTTCTCTCACTAAACATGACGACTTTTTTTAAATTGGATTTTTTTAATGCATGACTTAAAGATAAATAAAGATGATAATGAAATACTGAACTCAAATAGGAAGTAGTTCCTCCATTGTTAAATAAGTACGTTGAATTTTACGTACATTAATCACATATTTTACTTTGACTATGTTTAATTAATTAATGTATTAATAATCTACAAGTATATCTTTTTTGTACAAATATTATTTAATTTGTCTCATCCTAAATATTCAAAATCTGAATTTTTCAATTTTTGTTGCAAGGACGGAATAGAAGAGAATAAAAGTTGACCGCTACATTTATTTAAGAACCAAAATAGTACTCCCTAATTGAATAACTAAATAGGGGGATCGGATCACCGGATATCAATATGAAATCATACTCCGATCATTAGACTACCATTTCACGAGTTTGAGACTTCACACTTCAGTTGCCGATGATGTAACGTAGTAACGTGGAGACACGTTTATCCAGGCCGGCCATCACTTGGACATTAATTTCCCCATAGTAGCTAGCTAGATATATCTATACAACTAGCATCGGCACGCGCTTTGCGCGAGGGTTGATGCCCAATGGAGAACATTTGGCCAATATGAAGGGATCAAAATTAATCAACTATATTAATATTAACATAAGCGAGAACACACAGGACAACAACAGAAACAAAAAACATTTATGTATTACAAACATAGCTGCAATAAAACAATTACAGTGAGAAGTTACTGTTCGTCTTGGATGAAGCATCATTTTTATTTAGTAAATATTCATCACAATCTCAATTTTCTACAATTATGATTATGAACAAAAGAGTTGTATTGATAGTATAAAAAAACCAGGAACGCTCTTCCAAATCAATAGACTTAGTAGAGTAGATGCGAAAGATGTCAACAGTGAATCCAATGATAATAAGAAATAATGATTTCACTACGAATGAGACTCCGAAGATGGAGTTTGCCATGCCAATAATACCTTAAAGTATTCCAAATTCAATAGTTGTTTGAGCTACAAAAACAGACAAAACAATATTAAGTTGAGGCTTGTAGGAAGTGAAATAAAATCTAGGAGAGGGTGCAAGCTCACAAGTAATGGTTTATTAAAATTCAAATAATATTTTGAAAATTGTGAGAAATGAATCCCTTAAAATAAAATAAAATTGCAAAGCAAGAAAGGGGAAAGAAAAGAGAACTGCCTACTTCTGCAAACTAAGCTTTTAAAACTAAGACTATGAATATGTGATTAGCAAATACTCGAAACAACCAAGCAGTAAATGAGGGAATAATTCTTAATAAAAACAACACCCACAATTGTGTCCTGACAATTTGAGCAAAAAACATGCCTCATACAATAACAACAACAACAACATCCAAGCCTTAGTCCCAAAAGATATTGGGGTCGGCTAACATGAATCGATACATGATATCACCACCAAAAGGAAAAGAAAGAAAATAAAGATAAAAAGATAAGCTATTATGAAAAAGATAATATAAAAAGAAATGAATATACCTAAAAATGATAAAATAAAAAAAGATAAGAAAACAAGAAAAAAGAATGAGAAAAGATAATACGAGATCACTCCTCCACACGAATACACGAAAACAAGAAAAAAGAATGAGGAGAAAAACGTGCCTCATGTGAAATGAAAATGCTAAACATGTGAGACATCTGACTGAAAGAGTGAAAATGTAAATTGACCGGTATCAAGCCTTCCACAGTGGTGGATTTGGCACTTCCAATCAGGACTAACAATTGCTTAAAGGTGACTAACAAGCATACAAATGAATCTGGGATGTTGAGGTAAGAAAAATACGGAGTATAAGTAAGAAAGGAAAAAATTGACCACTCCGATGCATATAGGTAAGGCAGTAATATGCATATAAACATAAATAGACGAATAATCGGATAAGTACAAGATAAGTTGTCAAGGTGATAACATACTGTTCTCAATAATTTCCTAGCAAACAAGTTTACAAAGGAACAAAAAGTAAGTCCTGCAAAGATAAACTTTTATCCTCAAAATGTTTTAAATCCTTAAATGCCTTGCTGTATTCCTTATACTTATTGGAAGTAACTCTGCTTCATTTTTTTGGTATTTACTTAGAGCATATTCATGGATAGAATACCCTGAACACGCAGCTCTCTGACACAATTCTAAGATATATTTTTGAGTTACAAAACCAAGTACAAATAGAAGGAAAGGATGAAACCAACCACCATCTCGTTTTTAAGGATACAAACAAAAAATAGCAAGTTTGGATGTAAAAATCGTCGTGAAGATGCCACGATAAGCATACAGAAAATCAGAAATAACCCCTTTCCTAAAAACCAGTAAGCAAAACTTGACTTTTGGAACACCTAAATGTTTTTAAAAAAACGCCAAGCCAGATTCTTTCTGTTCAACACTCGAGTCACATGGAAAGTTTAAATGTGAAAGGAAATAAACAAAGACCTGCATCCCCTCAACCCAACTTACTCTAACCCCAACATCAGCCTCTTGAAGCATGCTGACATCATCAGCCCCATAACCAATTGCCAGTGTCTTTCCACCACTTCCTTTCACCAATGCTGTTACCTGCATGTCTTCAAACATTTTGGTAAAACTATTAAGACTCCTTGACAAATAGAATTGGAAAAGATAAGAGTGATAATGTGAGTGAAAGTTTATCACTCACAAGAGCTTTTTGTTTAGGTGTAGAGAGACAGCATATAACAGATGCACATTTCAATGCAAGGTCCAAAAATAGCTTCTTCATACACTCTCTGAGAGCAAAAGATAGTTCAGTTCCATCTATAATTAAACCAACCAATTCCGTACTTGATTCAATTCGACACATTCCGTCATTTACTTGCGTTGTTACCCTTCTTAAATCCTATGAAGATTGAGCATTGTAAAGATGAAAGTGATGGATTAATATGAAAATACATCTACGATATATACCCCACCGTCCTTTTCTTCTTGACTTTCCAAAGTAATTTTTTGTGGAGAATCCAGAGTAGTAAGCATCAGCTTCATGCCTGGTCTTGGTAAACTGCAGGCATACCTACAAGAATTTCAGAATAAAAAATGACTATGATATGTTGCAATGTTTTTTTAAGTCAAGGATGGAAAAGCAAGCACATGAGTTCCAAAAACAAAACAGTCACCCTACCCAATATTGATTGCTGTCTCCATCTTATCACCAAATAAAACCCAAAACTTTATCGCAGCAACTGTGAGTTTGTTGATGCATTCAGGGACCTACACAAGAAGAGAAACCAAGTGTGCATTTGATCATTGAAGGATGAAAAAATCATCACTATAGGATGCTATGTAATTAATAATGAAAAAGTTGTAAGATTGGTTATAACCCCCTTTTAAAGTGTATCATCAATGGTTGTGGCTCCAAGAAGAATTAGGTCCCTCTCAATTTTATCAACAGCAACAACATGTTTTTTTACCTTAGTAGCTACTTTAGAACCTAGAATGGATAAAAATAGATGCAATCACACATATATGTCACTTAAACTTCTGAATCACCAAACAATTTTAAGGAATAAGGTCAGATTATCAATCAAAATGTGTAGTTAACCTATTATAACATTATGTCCAAAACTGAATAACATAAGATGAATAAGATGACAAAGAAAAGATTACAGTATATACCATTGATGAAATTCTCAATTGTGCCAGATGAAACCTCTTTGAGAACATAGATACCCAATCCCTCACTTGTGTAACTGCAAAAAAATGGAAAAGGAGTCAGGGTTTTCTTATTGGATGAATTTCTTAGATTTATAGTTGAAACCTGGATGTAATTAACTATGGTCTCTGAAAATGCTAGGTAAAGGTAAAAAGAATGTTAGAGAAAGTCACACTAACAAAATGATAGACAAATTCTAGAAAAAATCTAAGAATATTTTTTAGATTGTCACATCAGATTTTACGGGGGGGGGGGGGGGGGGATAATAATCAAAGATTGGAAAAACAAAACGGAGAGCAGAAGAAATTACCATCCCAGCGCCAAAAACTGCATACAAAAGTGACTGAAGCCAGTGGGTATCAAACATGTTCCTCTAGCTTCACACATGAGGATCCAGATGTGAAAATTATAAGCAAAGCAACAAAAGAAACGAGAAAAGGCAAGTTTTACGGATGAACTTGCGAGCCGATGCTTTTGTTTCTTATTCTTGTAACTTGCGTATAGCCTTCAAAGTGTTCCTCATCGACAGGAGGAGGATAATGACCTGAAACAGAATTAGGAAAAAAAAAGTGTTTGTATTCTTGTCCTCAGAAAAGATTTCATCACAGGACCTGTGTGGGGTAAGTGTAGCATCTACAGTTGGTGGATCAGAGAGAAGCTAATCATCTCCTGTTTGGGCCGGACTGTCACAATTAACCAAAAGATGGCCAATTCCCTCGGTTACCGCCTTGTTACAGGTGGCCACCGGGGGTTCTTCACGCTCAAAGGCAACATGATACATGGCTGATGGTAGCAGCCGGGTATCTACTGAGGCAAACACAGAATCTGCCACATTGACTACTTTCTCAAACAAGTTGACCCGAGGCCTCATATTTTCATCATAGTAAGCATTAATCGGGATTGTTGGGGCATCAAAAGTAAACACAACATCATACATAGGGGGAGGTTATGGGAATTCCAAAACCGTAACATGGGCGTCATTAGGGACAGAAACTGTTACAGACGGGGCTGTAACAGCAGCATCAATAAGGGCATCAACATTAGGGGCTTTTTGGACTAACAACATGTATTTCAGGGGCATCCCGGAGTGAAAGGGAAACCATCGGGTCCTCACTGTGAGTGATATAAGTAGGTACTTTATAGGTATCAACCTGCACTGAATTAACACCTATATCATCCTGCAGTCAAAAAGCAACAACCGGGGCCTCACTTTGAGGGAGATCAGAGATAACAGAAGTAAAAAGATCAACATTAGGGGCATATTCATCAGAAGCAACAAGAGCTTGAGCTGGGGCTAAGGCAGCAGCATATTTAAGGTTAACTGTGGCACAATCTGTAAGGTTTGAGGCATCAACAACATGAAGTAAACTGGTCTTAAAACCAGTCACTCCAGTATCCTGATCAACAAAAGGGAGAGTGAATGAGGCATCAACTGGGGCAGAAACAATCTCATTCGTAACACAGATTACCTCAGCCAATTGTAGCATCATCGGTTTAGGGCCCGAAATATTTTGGCCCCGGGGACATTTTGATTTGGGATGGTCAAACCCAGAGCACAGAAAACCGGAAGATTTGGCAAAACAGATTGAAAATAGGCAACGAAAAAGAAATCTGGATTATAATAGATCAAGGAATTTAGAAGAGATCACCTGGGTGTTGTCATCAGAAAAAGAATCTGCCGGAAAACCTTTAAATCTACCAGGCGGTTTGGCCGGGATATCGAGGAGGTCCGCATCGGAAAAAAAGATCGGTTGAGAGTGAAACCGTCTTCCTGGGAGTGACTCCTTTACCACCGCTGCGTATTAATGCGCAGGTTGGTCACTCTCCGCCGGCGGCATGTTTGCCGCAGAGGCGTCTGGCACGAGAAGCTTTGGATCTTCACAACTTTGGGACAACCCTAGGTGATTTCATTTCTGAAAAACTGAGCAGCAGATAGGTGAGATATCGATCGAGGCTTGAAAACGAAAGGGTCGCATACAACCACGTCTGAGCAAACGGAAGCAGTAAACAGAGCTTAACATTCAGAACTGTAGTAACGTAAAAAAGACCAAACTAACTTCCTTCCACGCTTTATATATAAGGAGATATTAAACTATGCTAGCTTCTATATATCGTGGATTAGAATACGTTCTGAACGTAGCTTTGCCAGTTTAATTTTATATATTTAGCTCATCAAGTTCGTCAAATCAATATACAGTTGACTAAAATTTTATAGTTTATTTAGGTTCGAACTAATCTGATCTACGGTAATATGTATGGATGGATTCATTTTATATCGACTTTGTTGCACTACATGTATCTATAGTAGCTACCTATTTCTATTTTTTATTTGTCATCTTTGACTTAACTACTAATGGTGAAAATTGGTCTAAGTTGAACTAAAGTAACAAAATGCTCAAATAGATTTACTTATATTTTACTCCAACTCGGGGAATAGGACTTATTTGATTCTACTAAAAATATTAGACTCACCTAATTAGAAATGAATAAACCCTATTTTAGAAACAATATAATGATAGTCTTATCTATGCATGTTGCCTATCTTTTAGTCTTTTTATGCAGTTTTCTCCGACTTTAACTCACATATATTGTGAAAGGTATACTACGAGTAGATTATGACTACAATACTTTTAAAATGCTATTTTTTATAAAAATTATTTTCATTTTATTTCCATATTATACATATGTTTACATGTAAATATATGATCAGGACCGGCCATAGGGCCTAGGAAGCTTATTTCAAAAGGCGTCACACCATGGGCCTAAACTCTTTTTATTTTATTTTTCTATTCTGTTTGTGTGCTTTCTCTTTGTACTGTTTTTCTTTGGTGTGTACCCTCTCTTTTTATGAATTAAAACCACTATTTCTCTCTTTTTTTTTACTCTCGGGTCTGGGGGAGGGGGGCCTGGAGTAATCAGGGCTGAAACTCACTCCATTGAGTTTCGAACCCTTATGTGCCTAGCGGGTTTCGAACTCGAGACCTCCCACTAAGCACGATAACCTCACAATCAGCTGAGCTGGAATGCTTGGTTACAACCTCTATTTCTCTTATATGTGTATATACACACACACACACACATATATACATATATAGAGGAATGATCGTATCAGGCCGGCCTGACGGGAACCGCCGTCAGGCCGAGGCCATTTGGGGACCTTCCCGGTGGAATTTTTTGATGAAATTTTTTGAGCATGTTCCTCATCAAGTCTAGTTTGTTAATACTACATTTCAGATAAAAATTCAATCGGGAAGGCAGTCGAAAAAAATTCCCTACAAAAACTGCGCAGTTTATATATATATATAATGCACAGTTTTAGTAGGGAATTTTTTTGACTGCCTTCTCGATTGAATTTTTAGCTGAAATTTGGTATGAACAAACTAGACTTGATGAGGAACATGCTCAGAACATTTCATCAAAAAATTCCATCGGGAAGGTCCCCAAATGGCCTCGTCCTGAGAGCGGTTCCCGTCAGGCCGGCCTGACAGGATCAGTCCTCCACACACACACACACACACACACACAGGCAAACGATCAAGTGAGAAGTGTCTCTTAAAATGAGAAGTGAGAAGTAATCTTAGCCAGGGGCGTCTTCAGCATTTCGGAGGTCCCAGACAAAAAAATACTTATTATGCGCAAATCATATACAATAGAAAATCGGATAAATTGGATTAAAACACCATATGAAAAAAATAGTCAATGTGTATGATATAATGTTTTTAGAATGCTTTTACTTGTACTATTTTCAGTCTCAGACCAGACCAGTTAAGACTTGAACAGTTATAAAATATACAAAGATCAGACATTTATCAGATCAGACTAGTTCAAACCATATCAGACCAGACCAGAAAACTTGAGTCCAAGTAAAAACATCTGTAATACTCAAAAAGATAAATTTTTAAATGCAAACATATGTAAAATACATCGCAAACTTGTACTTAAACACCCTATTATCATATTCTTCTTGCTCTTTGAAATGCAGAATGATTAATAGCATCACTTCAATCAAGAATTGCTAACACTTTTTTTTTCAATTGAAAGAGGCGGCAAATGATTGCATAACCAAATTTCTCTTCAACTTATTCTTTCTCTTTATACATTTCGGAGTCAAAATTTTGTTTTCTCATCATGACAATACTTACAAAATTTATAGATAATACAAGAATTACAAACAAATCAATTAACAAGAAACCTAAATTTCTAAATACAATGACAATCAAACCATCAAAATAACTACTTTAATTTACTAGTACCAAAACCATCAAATTAATAATTACATGTATTTATCAATTAATATTTAATACATGCTCTGTACAATAAGTCAATATCAATATAGAAATTTAATCCAATAATTTTTAAACAGTAATTTAGCCTTTAAAAAAGAAATACTCCGTCGTAGTAATTCAGGAATTGACCTCAATTAAATAGTAAAAAAGAATTAGCCTTAATTGCTTGTATGTATGCGGTCTGGTTTACTGTTTGGCATTGGCTTTACTCCTTGAGGCCTTTTATGTTTAGAGTTAAGACTTTAGTATATACGGAGTATATATTTCACTATTTGGGTGAGAACACAGATAAGTCAGAGCGAAAGAGAGTATGAGACTAATAGGATGTAATCAGCAAAGCAGATCGGCCACTCAGCGGCTGGCAGCGACTTGAGATAAGCGCCCTTCGCAATTGGCGTCTTGCGATTTTGGAAACGCGAATTCCAAGACTCCAATTAATTAATTTATGGTGTATCGTACCCACCACCCATTTGATTGGACCACATCATATTATCATTTTTAATTTAGATTTAAATAACTCAGCTACTACATTCTCATTGGTTTATATGGACAAAAGTATGGTACCTTATGGGTAACATAAAATCTACCTTAAATATGTATTGTATATAGTAGTAATAACTAAAGACTTTTTTGAGGCCCCTTTCCAACACGAGGCCCAAGGCAACTGCCTGGTCTAATTGGCCCCAAATCCGCCACTGATCTTAGCTCTTGGATTTGGATCTGATCTTACAACGCAGTAAACTTATAGACTAAATATAGGAATTTATAACCAATAAATTATAACTTATAAAGCTCTCCATAATAATTACGAAAATGCCACCGCGTCAAAAAAATTTCCAGATTTCCTTAATTATTTTCTTGCGGTGGCATTTTTGTAATTATTTTCGAGGAGTCTATAAGTTATGATTTATTGGTTAAAAGTTCATATATTTAGTCTATAAGTTTAACTTCGTAGTTCTCAGCCTAAGAGCACTTCTCACCTGATCCGCTCCCTATATATATATATATTGAAAAGTGCATCAAATAAGGCCTATTCGAAAGTGCATCAAATAGAGGTTATTGTGCATCAGATTGACACTTTGGACGGCTGAGATTAATTCTCATTTTACACGTTAAGACTTTTTTTTAACGTCTATATTAAATAAGGCCTATTTTACACTTTTGTTATGAATTTTTTTTAACATGTTATTCATGGAGTTTAGATTATCTCCACAAAATTTCAGTTTAAAATTCGATTAGAAAGTTATTTAAATAAATTACTGAAAAATACGATGCTTTTTAGATATATATAAACCACAATATTTTTCAGTAATTTATTTAATTGACTTCTCGATCGAATTTTAACTTGAAATTTTGTGAATATAATCTAAACTTCATGAATAAAATTCTCACAAGTTTTCATAAAACAATTTCACCCGAAAGCCTCTCAAATAGGTTTCTCTGGACAGCGATTCGGTCTGACTTTCCTGACAAGAACGTAAATCTATTATATAAATATACATATATAATGACTTTTTAAAATCTATTTAATGACTTTTTACCAACTTTTCATCGAATTCTTATTAAAATCTATTCAACGGCTTTTTCTTAGCTTGAAAAAAGTTGGGTTATAAATTTATTTTTGAAATCATTTTTTATCAAATTTATCCTCAAACATGTTTTTTAAGTTATATAGAGTACTAACTTTTATTTGTATTATACTCCGTAATATTTAGAAATAAAATATTATCGTTTAGTATTTAATATGATGGAAAAGAAACAAGATTCAAGAAATTTAAAGAGAAAACTTAAAAACAATCTAGTTATGTAACCTTTTACAGATTATCAATTATGTTTATTGTAGGTCGAGAATAATTTTCCTTCACTTCGAACAATTTTGTTTGAGATATTATCTGAAATAGGACTAAAAAAGTTTGAAAGTTCCAAAATAGGACTGTCATGTTTTTATTCTCAAAATATGACTAATTATTGTCATGTTTTGGCAGTACCAGACTTCAAACATGACAGTATTTTCAAACTTGACAGTAATTACTCCTATTTTGGGAATAAAAACGTGTCAGTCCTATTTTGGAATTTTTAAACTGTTTTAGTCCTATTTCAGGAACTTTCCCATTTTGTTTTTGTCTAGGGCACCAAAACTCATGTAGACGGCCCAGTATATGATTGTTTGCATGTAAAAAAAATATGATTGTTTACATGTAAATATATGATTAGTTAAAGTTTAGTTTTACGTGGTACTCTCTCTATCTTGCTAAGATTGCTCCATATTTTTGGGAAATCCCACTAAGTTGTCTCATACCAATTTAGATAAAATTTGTGTGACTCTAAATTATTCTTATTGTATTCATACATTATCAATTCGATATCAACAACATAAACGCATTTTTTAATGATGGTGTTACCTTATGTTCTAATGTTTGTGGGATGGAGGTAGTATTAAATTTACTTTTAAATTGCAACATTGGTGAGTTTAGCATAATTCACATTCTCTACTTTAATTACATTTTATTTATTAATGTATTATGTAGTATAAATTAAATTTTTGAAAAACTATTGTTAAATTTCTCTAATTTTAAATTTTCAAAATATGAAATTGTATTTTTTTTAATACAAAATGAAATATATTAATGATTAAATTTGTGCATTGACAAATGTGAACAAGTTTTTATACTCCGTATTACTCATAATACATACTCCCTCCGTCCCATTTTAGTTAGTCAATCTTGACTTTTCCGGTCAAAGGTGTTAAACTTTGAGCAATTATTTGAACTAATATATTTATGC